GGCCTAGACAATCTGAACTCTTAGTGGATCTGAATGAAACTTTCTCTAGAATGGTTTGTCATGCTCTAAGATCGCAAGAAATTATTCAATTTTGGTGACAATCCGGAGCAGAGTGTGGAGTGGACAGGAGCACCATTTAAAGGGTACAGGGTACTTCCCAGACCTAGATAGCTATAACCAAAAAAAAAAAAAAAAAGGAGCTGAGCATCTGAAAACATCATGGCCAAGGGAAAAGAATATGACATTTTGGTGACTCCGGTGTAGGGTGTGTGCATGTGGAGACCCTTCAAATGGAGCGCCCCAGACTTAAATATCTCAAAAACTGATCAATGGATCTGAATGAAACTTTCTAGAATGGTTTGCCATGCCGGTCCAAAGAACAATGATTGAAAATTCTCAAGTTGCCGGTCGCGCACACAGTTTTAAACTCATTCGTGTTTGCTTATCGACAGGCCTTGGGTTCAAATCACGGTAGAGGTAGAGGTTTTCATTATCAATTAAAAAAAAAAAAAAAAAGATGCGTTTGCATTTTATACAGGGGAATTATGATGAAACCGGGTATGCACTCTCGGAGTGTGCTCTACATAATAAGTGATCCAATCAAGGGTTTTATATAGGCCTACTGTATAATAAGTAAAAGTACGTACACACAGTGGTAAATTGTTTTGGTCAACCGCCCTCTACCAAAATGGCAGTCGACGTCTCTCCCTCTGTAGGAAATTGCGAGCAAGTACGTGATGTGTGACCGGCCAACTGTGTTGGTTGTTGTGTGAACAACAATGATAATATTCTGAATTTTTATTATTTCGTATGTATGGTTTATGATGGATAGACACCTATGGGAAAGGGTTGTACAGTTCCATGGGCCTAACTTATTGGAACTTGTACAAAAAGAACAAGGAACTCTCCCGGAGCTAGGCCTAAGTCGAGCCCCTGATGATGGAAGAAACCAACAGGCAACAGTTTGCCCAGGCCTAGTGGCTGGAGGAGGGAGTGGAAGAACTGTTGCGGAGGAGAATGAGAATAGCAAGCCTAAGGACTATGAACTGCCTGAAACGAGTAGCTCTTCTAAAGCGCTTCCTAAGAAAATTGGGTAAGCCTGGAGTTGGCCTGACGACCTGAGCTGACCCAGCTAGACAATTCGTTATTTTTTAATTGTTATTTTAACATTTGATGATTCAAGATTAGTTTAGCCTAAGGCTAAGGCCTAGGCATAGAATCAATTTTTTGTGGTAGGCCCTAGGTGAACAAGTCTTCCGGAAAGAGTTTCCCACCATTTGGGAAATAGCAGCCAATCCACCTAATTCATTGAGAGGAGAAAAAAAAAGTCTTATTGTAATTTTTACCCATATTATGAATATAATATGGTATTCTAAAATCGTTTAGGCCTGGACTACTACTAGTATTACTGAATAATCCTTTTAAATCCCTAAATTGTCGTAGCTTCTGGGACTTCCGCCAACTGATCTCCTTTAAAGGTTTTTAGTTCCTATCCCTACCCACTTACTTTGGTGTCCGACAAATTCTGTAGTACCGTAAATGCTGAAACAAGCGCCACTCTCGAATAAACGACGCGCTTGAATAATTGCTGCACCATAACCTGATTTTGTTTCGCTAAGCGCTGCTCTCGAATAAGTGCCGCGGCGCTTACTTGAGGGTATATATTACCCTGTCTGTAATGAAACATTTTGAGAAACAGGGTTTTAAATACAATGCACTGTATACAGAGTTGAAACGAACAATGAAGACACAGACATTTCATTATAAATGTTTATTTACAATGATGTAGGACCTATGATATACCTAATGAAATATGGGAATACGTGAGATAGGTAACATGGGAAGGGGTATGGAAAGTGCTACAACAATACTTTTTTATTAGCTCTCGAATATGTGCCGCACTGTAGCCTCCAAAAAATGTATATTTGCTGCGTCACTTATTGAAGCATTTACAGTACCTACTGTGTTCAAATAGAATAATGCCTACCTGAAATTCATAATGCACATTTTGCATCCTTGACTGTAACATAACATTAGCAACAGTTATTTTCTTATTGTACAGTAGATTTTCTGAGAAGATTCATTTGTTTATTGCTAAGAAAGCTGATATGCTCTTCAAGAGTGAAGATCTGATTTGCTGCTCATCATCGAAGTCAGTCGAAGATGGTAGTCATTTTGCAATCATCCCACCTATAGAACAGTTTATGAAGACACCAAGCAAAGAAAATCATGAAAGAACATTCAGCATAATTGCGGTAAATGATGTGATGATTGCACGGGTATTAACGCTGAAAGACTTTGGCCTCTTTGTTCGTCTCCTCAGCTTCTGCAGTGACAAAGCGAGGTGGTTTGAGAATATCAATATGGTTGCTTTATTGCCAGTCACAGAGCTGTGTGATCGTTATTTAAAGAGTGCGAAAGTTGAAGATTTCTCAGTTGGTGACCTGGTCAGATGTCAAGTAATAAAGGTCACTGCAGAAGGGAAGGTCATAGTTAGCTTAAAGACACCAGAATCAGCAAAAAGTGATTTGATTTTGGTAAATAGCAATTTTTTTAATTACCTGTTATTTTTTTGAACACCAGATAGACCCAACTGGAAATATGTCTTCAGAGTTTCATGGGTTATGTTGGGGACAGACGAGCGATACTAGTGCAGACACGAACAGACCATTACCGGAGTCTTAAGACGAGACCTTTTGTTATACATTGTTTAGCAAACCCGCCGACTGCAAATATTGATGATTTCGAATAACAATTAACAATTTTATTTTTGGCAAATTAGCACACATGCCGCCACATAAAAGGGAAATTTCAGAAAAGAATAAATGTTTTCTTTTATTTTTATTACACCCTCCAAGTCTGCCTTGAAATCTTCAAAGATAAGATATGTATATTTCTTCCTAATTATTTAAATTTGAAGCATTTAACCATCTTATTTTACATTTACCAATAAAATTTTATTTTTATTTTCTCCTTCATTTAGATGTTTTTTGGTAAAACTATTTGCTAAATAAGAAAACAAAATATTATTTTTATTGTTATTCTGCCCTCCTCCGATAATTTTTAAAAAAATAAGTATGCAAAACAAGGAATAAAAAAGTTTCACCTCAGCAAGTTATTGTGCGAGCTTGTCTAACCCCTTTAGCGCTTTGAGACTTTGGTATAAGGCGGTATATAAGTATCCAACTACAGTATATTACATTATCCTTTGTGCATTTCAGACATGTAACTTATATTTCACAGGGGTTGATAGCTGATTCAGATGTTCCTGTTCAGTATCGTCAGAGCCGGGAATTGGATGAGAGCTTTGAGAGTTACGACACAATACTGCAAAACTCAACAGGGTTTGACAATCCGTATTGCCTGAATACTCTGATTCCTGTTTTGGGATTACAAGAAAATGCATTCTCCTCTTTAATGAGAGGATTGCAAAAGTAAGTTTACTTCTACATTAAGGTAGAAAAAAATTGTAATTCAAATGTATAAATTGTATATTTTAATTCAGATATGAGATTTCAATTGAGTATATAATCCTTCCTTTTTTATTTACAATTTTTAAAACCCATGGATCTCAAGTGTTCTATAGAAGTGTATAAATTACAGTAACAGTTTGCCCTCCAATTCGAGACCACATTTAGGACCTGAAAAATTGGTGTGGGTGTTAGCTCTTAGTGTTAATAAATTGAAGTTAAAGTTGAAGTTTTTGATCATGTGACTAAATGATGCTCGCTGATTAGTCGGTTTATCTGTCAATCAAATGTTGTTAAGATGTTAATTGGAGGGTGCAATGTATTTTCAAACTGTTTCTAATTATTTTGGAAATAAATTAGTTCATTCTTTTTGAACAATTTAAAGTTTAACAATTTAAATTTTAGTTGTTATCAAGATGTACAGTATAAATAAACAGATAGGTGTTATAAAAAGATAATAATATTCTATACAGTATGACATTGTGATAATTCATATATACTTCAAATAGTCATGTGTCATTTTAATCTGCTTTTGATTGGCTATCCACAATCCAGGTCAGCGTACCCAAAATCTGAACTAGCAGAGGAATTGAATTCTGTACAGTCTGCAAAATGGTCAATGAAAATGTGAGTATTCCATGTACTTTAATGACCTATGGAAACATATTTTTAAGACATTATTGTTTATTTGTAACATCACAAGTGAATATACAGTGTCATATTCTATTTTTCAATCCACTTCACAATTCAGTGTCACTACTGAATGATTGTGATTTTATTGTTTGTACCATATCTTTCAGCGTGGCAAAAGGAGTGTTGCTATTTAAATCTGGTGATTTTATGCAAGCAGTTGCTAAGTTTGACAAAGCTCTGCAAATGTGTCCAAAGAACATAGAGGCATTGGTAGCAAGAGGGGCTTTGTAAGTATTACAATTGTTATCGTTATCACCATTTTTATTATTTTATGTAAACGCCTATCAATCCACTGCTCAGTGTTCATGCATATGATGTAGCATCTCCATCATCCCCCACCCCATTTAACATGATATTTATCATATAAAATTATTTCCATGTTTTCAATATTTACTTTCCACTGTAGATATGCAAATCGTGGCAGCTTAACAAAAGCTATTGAAGACTTTGAGAGCGCCCTCAAGTTGAATCCCCACCACAGGAACGCCACTAAATATCTCACCGAGACTCTCATGGAAAAAGCTAAACAGTAGGAAACAAGAATAATAAACTCCTTAATTTTTTTCTTCTAGTTTTTAATACAAATAATTCTTTTTTATACATATTCTTCTGCTTTGGCTTTTGTAGGTCAGATTGCATTTCAAACAGTATTACAGTTAGCAAAATATTAATAGATCAAAAAAATGTTTACATTCATTTTTAAAAAAAATGTCTTTTATTAAATTTTTTTTACTGCACATATTTTTAATGACAACATGAATAAATAACAATAATTTTTCAAGAAATCAGTAAAAAAACTGTAATTGTAAGTTATTGATTATACAGTATTTCTTATTCAAAAGTTTTGTTACATGTCTATAGCTAATATTCATGGGTATTGATAGATATTTTTTTCTCATTTGAAGACTAGAGAGTGAGCCAGACATTGATAAAGGAATAGCATGTTATCGCCGTGTGCTGACACTCAACGCACACCATGCAGAGGCTAAGATGTGCTTAGAGAGATTATACCAGGACAAAGAGCAGAGGGCATCTGTAAGTATGGAAACAATTTACGAGCTATCTATGTGATTGATATTAATAATGACTAAAATTATATCAACTTAAAACAGTATCTGCCACAAAAGTAATTTACAAATGAGAGCAGCTAGCTCAGTTGGCTAAACTGGTGGTAGCCACTGTGTGTGCGCTGAACCGTGAAGATCTCTAGGTCCTGTTTCAATTCCCAATGCTGGTGTACTTGTGTTTCAGCTGGAGGGCTGAAATAAAGTTTCAACAAGCGCACCGTCTTTCGGATGAAACGTTTAAGCCGTTGGTCCAGTGTGAAAAATGGCATATGTACACGTTAAAGAACGCAGTACAATCTTCGGAAAGAAGTAGGGAATTGTCTCCGGTGTACTGCCCAATCCACCATCAGAAGGACCCCACTGGAAATAAGTCGCAGGACATATGTGGGTTATCCTGGTGTGTAACACACCAAAAAAATCCAATCCAATCCAGTCATTGCGCTATTGCAAGTTAAAGAAAGAATAAAATATAGCAGTCACAAGAAAAAGTAACTAAGTAAAACATGAAATTAAGAAGCTAGTGCCAGAAATACAACATCAGATTTTTATGTGCCAGACATTACTGATAATATTTGAAAAGATTTGTCTGATGAAGTACAGTAAAGCTTGAAAGAGTACAAAACGATGGCTTTTCTGTTGAGATCATCAGGTTTTTTTTCCTTTTTTATAAATGTAGTGCAGTGGCGGCTCTAAGATATCATTTATGGGGGGGGGGGGGCTAAGATGTCCGACTGGGGGGCTATGTATTTATGGGTGTAGGCCCGAGCCAGGTATGGGTATGGGAGGGGGTGTCCCATCCTCCCAAAACAAGATTTTTTTTTTTTTAAATTGGGACTTCTAGATGGCCGGAAATGGCTGGGATGGGAAAACTAGGCCTATTTTTTTTTTTTTGGTCTGACCGCCCGATGGGGGCCTTAAGCCCCCCCCCCCGCTGGCGCCGCCACTGATGTAGTGCACATTTTGTAATCTTGTTAAAATTATGAAAATATATATATATATATATATATACGTATAATATACATGCGTATATATATACACAAGCGTATATATGTACACGCGCGCGTGTATATATGCACACGCGCATGTATATACATATATACGTGTATACGTATATATACGTGTATATATACGTGTATACATATATTTATATATGTGTATATATATGTATATATATGTACGTATATATATATATACGTATATATATATATATATAGGGCCTATATACTTTTTAAGCCATGTATCATGCATAGGAACGTTGACGCCTGCAAGGCTCTGGTTATTATTTTATGTAAACGCCTATCAATCCACTGCTCAGTGTTTATACATATGATGTAGCATCTCCATCATCCCCCACCCCATTTAACATGATATTTATCATATAAAATTATTTCCATGTTTTCAATATTTACTTTAGATATGCAAATCGTGGCAGCTTAACAAAAGCTATTGAAGACTTTGAGAGCGCCCTCAAGTTGAATCCCCACCACAGGAACGCCAATAAATATCTCACCGAGACTCTCATGGAAAAAGCTAAACAGTAGGAAACAAGAATAATAAACTCCTTAATTTTTTTCTTCTAGTTTTTATTACAAATAATTCTTTTTTATACATATTCTTCTGCTTTGGCTTTTGTAGGTCAGATTGCATTTCAAACAGTATTACAGTTAGCAAAATATTAATAGATAAAAAAAATGTTTACATTCATTAAAAAAAAAAATGTCTTTCATTAAATTTTTTTTACTGCACATATTTTTAATGACAACATGAATAAATAACAATCATTTTTCAAGAAATCAGTAAAAAAACTGTAATTGTAAGTTATTGATTATACAGTATTTCTTATTCAAAAGTTTTGTGACATGTCTATAGCTAATATTCATGGGTATTGATAGATATTTATTTCTCATTTGAAGACTAGAGAGTGAGCCAGACATTGATAAAGGAATAGCATGTTATCGCCGTGTGCTGACACTCAACGCACACCATGCAGAGGCTAAGATGTGCTTAGAGAGATTATACCAGGACAAAGAGCAGAGGGCATCTGTAAGTATGGAAACAATTTACGAGCTATCTATGCGATTGATATTAATAATGACTAAAATTATATCAACTTATAGCAGTATCTGCCACAAAGGTAATTTACAAATGAGAGCAGCTAGGTCAGTCGGCTAAACTGGTGGTAGCCATTGTGTGTGCACTGAACCATAGAGATCTCTTGGTCCTGTTTCAGTTCCCAACGCTGGTGTGCTTGTGTTTCAGCTTGAGGGCTGAAATGAAGTTTCAATGAGCGCACCATCTTTCGGATGAAACGTTAATAAGCCGTTGGTCCCATGTGAAAAATGGCTTATGTACACGTTAAAGAACGCGGTACAATCTTCGGAAAGAAGTAGGGAATTGTCTCCCGATGTACTGCCCAATCCACCATCAGAAGGACCCCACTGGAAATAAGTCGCAGGACATATGTGGGTTATCCTGGTGTGTAACACACCAAAAAAATCCAATCCAATCCAATCATTGCGCTATTGCAAGTTAAAGAAAGAATAAAATATAGCAGTCACAAAAAGTAACTAAGTAAAACATGAAATTAAGAAGCTAGTGCCAGGAATACAACATCAGATTTTTATGTGCCAGACATTACTGATAATATTTGAAAAGATTTGTCTGATGAAGTACAGTAAAGCTTGAAAGAGTACAAAACGATGGCTTTTCTGTTGAGATCATCAGATTTTTTTTCCTTTTTTATAAATGTAGTGCAGTGGCGGCTCTAAGATATCATTTATGGGGGGGGGTTAAGATCTCCGACTGGGGGTCCGACTGGGGGGGGGGCTATGTATTTATGGGTGTAACTATAGTGCGCAGCGTTATTTGAGGGCCGTAGGCACGAGCCAGGTATGGGTATGGGAGGGGGTGTCCCATCCTCCCAAAACAAGATTTTTTTTTTTTTAAATTGGGACTTCTAGATGGCCGGAAATGGCTGGGATGGGAAAACTAGGCCTATTTTTTTTTTTTTGGTCTGACCGCCCGATGGGGGCCTTAAGCCCCCCTGCCCCCGCTGGCGCCGCCACTGATGTAGTGCACATTTTGTACTCTTGTTAAAATTATGAAAAATATTTATGGCTCTAAAGATAAGATTTAAATAGTTGCAAGGTGAAGATGTTCACATTCAAAACTCAACTGTTTAACTTGTCACTGATTTAGCATTTTCTTTTTTTCTTCATGTTGAAACGGCAACTCATCTGGGAATTTATATTACTACTGTCCTGATGCTGTAACAAATTTGATGCGAATCACAACCTCTTCGATATGTATCCATGAAATCTCACTGGCTTGGTATTGTATGGTATCTTAATCATTAATTAATCTTATGTCATCAAAATTAAATCATTTACAATTTATTTAAAATTTGAATTAAACACTGTTTTCTGAATATATTTTTATGAATCTTTATAAACTTTCATAACCAAATTTTAAAAATTGTCATTTTTTTAATAATTTGTAAAAAAATATCATTACTATTTATTCTCATTTTCTTATATTGATTTTGATTTTCCATATAATTTTGAAATCCTTTGTGATTTTTATGATTATCATTATTTATTCATTGTTTAATATTATTTACATTCATTGTATTTATTTAAATTTTTTACATCATTGGCCATTACTTATGTTATCACATTTCAAAATATTTGATAATTTTTATTTGTAATGAAATATTGAAATATATTGTTGTCTCACAATATTCAATTGTGGCATAATATAACAATGTCTACTCACATTTAATAACTCATGATGTAATCATTTTTTTTTTTAAATCCATGATACACATTTGATAAAACATGCTTCAATAATTTGAAAATCTATGAAAAATTCATGATTATTGGGGCGCCACTGGGTGTTTGTGCCTAACCAATGTTATTGGTTTTTATGATGTCATTCTTTCCTCGTGGGGTAGCAAACAAAACCAGCACAAGAACCACCGCCAGACAAAGCGCCAAAAGCTTCAAGTGAATATGCGCTGCAGAGGTTCATGATGGAGAAGTCGACAGGGGCCTTGAAGGATTTCCTGAGGCAAGAGCTGTCTCACAAAGACAAGTGAGTATGAGTGCAGATTTTGTCAGTGACTGATACTGTATATAACATATTTCAGTGATGCATAACACAATTTACATACAGTACAATCTATACCTATCATTGATAATATGTTGTATATAAAACATGGTGTAAAGTAGCAAGTTACAATCAAAAAACAGGTGGCTGTCTTATACGTGCAACACATTCAAATTTCTTATTTTTGACCCATGTTTGTCTTATGTGCTGATTGTCTATAACATGCAAATTTACTACTTTAAAAATGAAGCTACTAACTGTTAATACTGTATATGTATGTATATTATACTGAATGCAATAATATGGGGAAATAACACCATTCTATGCTCAACCAACTATCCAAGGAAGCCCAGATATACTTTTGATTTCCTAATTTCACAAAGTATGGCATAAACTCACATGTGTATTAAATAAATGACAATGTTATAACTTTTTTATAAATACATTTTCATATTTTTTTATATAGTTGTTTAATATTTTATTCTAGGATAAACAAGCAAAAGAAAAAGATGAAATGTGAAAGATCCAAACGGCGAAGTAGGTCACCGAAAATGAGTCGGAAAGAGAAAAGCAGTAAAATAAGTAAAACATCATCATCCAGCAGCAGCTCTCCAAGCCCACGAGGACGCAGGCGGTCAAAATCATGCAGCTCTACTAGTAGCTCAGTAACATCATCATCTTTGTCATCATCATCATCATCATCTGGAAGAAATGGTGGTAAACGAAAAAGAAGGAAGTCCAGGGCAAAGAAAAAAGTGCGGAAAAAGTCAAAAGACCATGGATATGATAGTTCTGATGATGAAAAGAGAAGGGGATCAGCCAAAAGGAGTGACAGCCAACGAAGATCAAAAAGTATCAGAAATTCTAGCTATGCAGGGACCTCTCGGAGGCGTCATTCACAAGACGAAAGTAATGAAAGAGACAGGAGTAGAAAACGAAGCAGAAGTTCCTCCCAGAGGCGGAGACACAAATCATTCAGTAAGAAAAGAAATCTTGATGATTCACCAACTCAGAAAAAACGCAGGCTCTCAAAAGATAAATTAAAGAAAAAGTCAAAGGATATTGCTTTTGAGTGGGTCGTAAAAGATGATGGAGTTAAGGAAACATCAAAAAAGATTGCTCAGCCGGCAAGGAAGAGCAGGTCACGCTCATCTTCAGTGGAATTCATTTCAGAGATTTTCTTAGGGAAACTGAAGAAAGAGGATCTGGACAAGCAGGAAGTTGAGAGGAAAAAGAAACAGATTCTCGAACAAAGACTGGAAGAAGAAAAAAATCAAAGAAAAATATTAGAAAAACTGATGGAAGAGGAATCAAAGAAATTGAATCACGGTAATGTGGATGATGGCCAGACAGTTGGCAAAAGTCAGAAGTCTAATGAAGACATAAAAGAAAAATCTAATAAGCAGAGTTCAAAAACTGGATACAGTGATCAACAAAGTACATTTGGTTCCCAGAAAAAGGGGCACTGCAGTGGATCAAATTGTGGCACAAGTGATGAGGAAGATGGAAAAGGTGTGGCAGAGAAGAGAATATATGAGGTCGTGAAAGAAAATATAAAGAATTCTGACCAGAAAAACTTTAAAAAAATTCACAAAACAGATACCGACAAAAAAATAATTGGGACAAAAGATAAGAATTGCAGAGGGTCAAATTGTAATATTAGTGAAGAAGAGATAACAACATCTGTTCTAGTGAATGATATTAGCAGAGAAGGAAAGTGTGACTTAAGGAAGAAACAACAGCATTGTAGTGGGTCAGATTGTGAAAGTAGTGATGAAGAGAATAAAAGAAATGATTTGCAGAGGAATAAGATGACTTTTAGGTGCAAGAGATCCAGTCAGAGAAAAAAAGGAAGTACGACGATTAATAAAGAACGACGCCATTGTAGTGGATCAAATTGTGGCACTAGTGATGAAGAGAAAAATGAACTCTCCAAAAAAACTCAGGCATCACCATCATCCAATTCATTCTCATCCTCGTCTAGTTTAGTATCATCCTCCTTTTCAGCATCTTCATCATCCTCATCATCTTCATCATCATCATCATCTCCATCCTCATCATCATCTTCCGTCTCCAAGCAAATGACATCTGAAGACGAAGAGGATGACGATCTTGATGCATACAGAATTGATGACCCTGAGGCCCTCAGAACTCAAGTTCTTGATATGAATAAGATCTCTTACAAAGGCGATGAGATCAAGAAAAATATATCTACCCATCAAATTCAGGAAGATAAAGATTGTGTTGACTTCACAGAAAAAAGAAATATGTCCAGTCAGGAAAACAGTGAAATAAACACGGAAAATAAACCCATGTTTGACTACAGGAAAAGTAGTGTAGAACCTGACAGAGATAATTATGATGAAGCAAAACATAAAGTCCATGAAAACAGAGTACAACAAAGAGAGATAGAGAACCAACTTGGAGGAAGCCCCCACAGAGAAAAACGTAATCCAAAGCACTTCTCACCAAACAATATGTACAAACGATATGACCGCACTGGAGGCCAAAGTCGATCTAAGAGTCGTTCCCCAAGGACAACTCATACACAAAACCAAGGTTCTGGTAAATCAAATTACGGTAGTGAACAATCGATGAGACAAGGTAAATCTAGGCAGAGTCCTGCTAATGTGTACCACTGCCATGGTGAATCTTCTGTTGGTGGTGCACGGTCACAACAACATGGCCACTATGGATCAAATCCTGATAGGAACCAGCACTATGGTACAAGTGGACAATCACCAAGACATGGTCAGCATGGGTCAAATCCTTATAAGAGCTACCAGCACCTTGGTATTGGTGAAGTACATCATATTGGAGGACTATCAGCAAGACCTGGTCAGCATGAACCAAGTCCTGATAAAAGGCATCATTTTACAGGTAGACAATCACCAAAACATTGTACTGGTGAAGGAGCTTATGACAGTAGGCAGTTATCAAGACATTTTCACAATAGGCCAAGTCCTGATAATAAATACCAGTACCAAAGTTCAGGTGGACAGTCACCAAGACACAGTTACCATGGGTCAAGTCCTCATAAGAGCTACCAACACCATGGTGCTGGTGAAGTAGTTTATGACAGTAGGCAGTCAACAAGACATGGTCATAATAGGCCAAGTCCTGATACTAGATACCAGCACCAATGCTCAGGTGGACAGTCACCAAGACACAGTTACCATGGGTCAAGTCCTTATAAGAGCTACCAACACCATGGTACTGGTGAGGTAACTTATGACAGTAGCCAGTCAACAAAACATGGTCACCATAGGCCAAGTCCTGATGATAGCTACCCATACCAAAGCTCAGGTGGACAGTCACCAAGACATTTTTACCATGGGTCAAGTCCTTATAGGAGCTACCAACAACGTCCTGATGATAGATACCAGTACCAAAGCTCAGGTGGACAGTCACCAAGACATGGTCACCGTGGGTCAAGTCCTTATAAGAGCTACCAGCACCATGGTACTGGTGAAGTATTTTATGGTGGTAAACAATCAAGACATGGTCAGCATAGGGCAAGTCCTAAAAATAGATACCAATACCATAGTCATAAAACATCTCACGGTCATAGGTCCTCAAAGTGTCAAAGTCGTTCTCATTGGTCAGCAAAAGATTACATTGAAAGAGATAAACAATTTTGGCAGTATTACAGATCTTTTAATCCAAGTCCACTGGGGGTAGTGTCTGAAAAACAGGTGATAGTAGAGAAGATATATGAGAGAGATTTCAAGTCAGCATCAATTGCTGCAGCCACCAGCAGAGCAGGTCTTGAAAATCCACATCGGAATTGGTGGATGAGTCCATCACAGAATCGACTGTAGTAATAATACAGTTCCCCCTCCAAATCGAGACAACTTTGGGACCTGAAAATTTAGGTTGGTCTCAGAGTTTGGTCTCCCCACATAGAGGGTTAGTTCAGTGTTTATAAAAATTAGTCTTGAATTAAATGGGCTCGGAATTAGAGGAGTCTCAATTTGGAGGGTGCACTGTAATTATATATCATTTACAACAAAGGTTAAATGAATAGAAGAATAATAGTACAGGATTTTATAATTTAATTAAAAATTAAATACTCAGTTTTTTAAATGATTAATTATCAACCAATAAAATACAATACATTAAAGTTAAATTATCCAGCAATCAATTTCAATAATATTTGTTTAGAAAAATAATATTTGTTTAGAAAAAATTATTTAATAATTGCAACATTTCTGGTAACTATTATATTCCACTGCTGGACCTGTAGGTCTATCCGCCGAACTTTCACCTCTGTGCTGTCTCTGATGTGCATCTATTTGATCTCATCAATATTCAGTTTTAGTCTTTAATAATATCTTATATACAGTATTATATGTCCTATAATTTATGGAGGAATTAAATTAATTCCTCCATGATTTATTATAGTCATCTCTCTTTAATTATGCATTTTATAAGTCTTAACTTTCAATGTTACTCCAATCAATAGCCTCTCCATTCTTCTCAGTGTTACACATAAGTTCAATAGCAATTTTCAGAGTTGATTGAATACTGGCCTTCTCAAATACATTGGTAGTTTTGGTCTTCCTATTTTAAATAACGTATTACAGTAATAAATTGCAGATTTCATTTCATTTCTTTAGGCACGAGCGCCAAGGATATGTAAATAAGTGAAACTTCATCACTGTCCTACGTGGCATATCCATTTAACAACAGGGGACTTAATGGACCAGTACACCGGGGTAACCCCCTACCCTTCTCGAAGGATGTACTGGGTTCTTTAAAGTGCACACGAGTCAAATGCGTACACTGGGTTTACGGTTTAAAGTCTTTATACGAGAAGACTTGTTCACCACCGGAACCATTGGCGAGTGAGCCGTTAGAACCAGCGCTGATATATTAGAGCTCAAGGTTCACTCTGGTGCCCCTGAATTTGTTTTACATTTTGATTTTTAGAATTGTTTTTAATTAATTTCTTTAAAATGATATACTTTTGCAATAAATATTTTATTAATTATAATCCTAAACAGTCCTGGTTCCACCACTTATTTTTAATTAGTCCCACTCTGCTCCATCTTGCAAAATTAGTACCCCTTGTTTATATAAAACCAGATTATAATCCTAAACAGTCCTGGTTCCACCACTTATTTTTAATTAGTCCCACTCTGCTCCATCTTGCAAAATTAGTACCCCTTGTTTATATAAAACCAGATTATAATCCTAAACAGTCCTGGTTCCACCACTTATTTTTAATTAGTCCCACTATGCTTCATCTTGCAAAATTAGTACCCCTTGTTTAAATAAAACCAGATTATAATCCTGAACAATCCTGGTTCCACCACTTATTTTTAATTAGTCCCACTATGCTCCATCTTGCAAAATTAGTACCCCTTGTTTATATAAAACCCCTGAACAATCCTGGTTCCACCACTTATTTTTAATTAGTCCCACTATGCTTCATCTTGCAAAATTAGTACCCCTTGTTTATATAAAACCAGATTATAATCCTGAACAATCCTAGTTCCACCACTTATTTTTAATTAGTCCCACTATGCTTCATCTTGCAAAATTAGTACCCCTTGTTTATATAAAACCAGATTATAATCCTGAACAATCCTGGTTCCACCACTTATTTTTGATTAGTCCCACTATGCTCCATCATGCAAAATTAGTACCCTTTGTTTAAATAAAACCAGATTATAATCCTGAACAATCCTGGTTCCACCACTTATTTTTAATTAGTCCCACTATGTTTCATCTTGCAAAATTAGTACCCCTTGTTTATATAAAACCAGATTATAATCCTAAACAGTCCTGGTTCCACCACTTATTTTTAATTAGTCCCACTCTGCTCCATCTTGCAAAATTAGTACCCCTTGTTTATATAAAACCAGATTATAATCCTGGTTCCACCACTTATTTTTAATTAGTCCCACTATGCTCCATCTTGCAAAATTAGTACCCCTTGTTTATATAAAACCAGATTATAATCCTGAACAATCCTGGTTCCACCACTTATTTTTAATTAGTCCCACTATGCTCCATCTTGCAAAATTAGTACCCCTTGTTTATATAAAACCAGATTATAATCCTGAACAATCCTGGTTCCACCACTTATTTTTTTTTTATTATTTCCGCTTTGTTTTAATAACACCAGATTCTAATCCTGAGCATAAGCCTGGTTCTACCACTTATTTTTAATTAGACCCACTTTGCTCCATCTTGCAAAATTAGTAATACTTGTTCAAATAAAACCAGATTCTAATCCTGAACATAATCCTGGTTCCACCACCAATTTTTAATTAGTTCCACTTTGCTCCATCTGCAAAATTAGTACCCCTTGTTTAAATAAAACCTGATTATAATCCTACCTGTCTCTTATACACATCTAGATGTGTATAAGAGACAGTTCTAATCCTGAGCATAAGCCTGGTTCTACCACTTATTTTTAATTAGACCCACTTTGCTCCATCTTGCAAAATTAGTAGTACTTGTTTAAATAAAACCAGATTCTAATCCTGAACATAATTCTGGTTCCACCACCAATTTTGAATTAGTTCCGCTTTGCTCCATCTGCAAAATTAGTACCCCTTGTTTAAATAAAACCTGATTATAATCCTAAACAATCCTGGTTCCACCACTTATTTTTTTTTATTATTTCCGCTTTGTTTTAATAACACCAGATTCTAATCCTGAGCATAAGCCTGGTTCTACCACTTATTTTTAATTAGACCCACTTTGCTCCATCTTGCAAAATTAGTAGTACTTGTTTAAAAAAAACCAGATTCTAATCCTGAACATAATCCTGGTTCCACCACCAATTTTGAATTAGTTCCGCTTTGCTCCATCTGCAAAATTAGTACCCCTTGTTTGAATAAAACCAGATCCTGGTTCCACCATATATTATCAATTAGTCCCAATTTGCTCCATCTTGCGAAGTACCCCTTGTTTAAAATAAAACCAGATTCTAATCCTGAAAATAAGCCTGGTTCCACCACTTATTTTTAATTAGTCCCACTTTGCTCGATCTTGCAAAATTAGTAACCCTTGTTAAAAAAAAAAAAAGGATTTTAATCCTGAACATAATCATGGTTCCACCACTAATTTTTAATTAGTCCCACTTTGCTCCATCCTGCAAAATTAGTACCCTTGTTTAAATATAACCAGATTCTAATCCTGGTTCCACCCCTTATTTTTAATTAGTCATCGAAGTGTGCAATGAAACATAACTGTATGATTTACTTTTTTTGCTTTAATAATTTATGAACTAGACCTGGATAGTAGACCAGTACAGTAGGCCAAAATTTCTTCCAGAAAAAAGCGATTTAACTAAAAAATATTGATGCAGCTTTTGTTATTCAATATCTAAGCACATAAGAAGTAATACATGACAAAGTAGAATTCTTTATTGATAACAAACTGCCACTTTTTAAAAATAATTTCTTCAATTTAACATCAAATTAAATTTCACAAACTATCACCTCCCTTACTGATAATATTTAAATTAACAAACAAAAGTATTAAAATTGAAAATATAATTTATACATTCTAATAAAGGTGTAAATATAATTATAATACTGTACAATGTTCTATTTTAAACATGACTTTTTTTTAACTTGGTCTTGCCATATGCGAAGATCAGAGATATTCAAAAGATGCTTTAAAAGAATGATTGTTTATTAGCAGCAAGATTTTGCGTAAAGTTTTCAGATGAAATATACCCCGAAAACAGTGGCGTATTCCTATGCGCTCTCGTACGGTGGTCTGCAGGGTCACCAACTCCTGGGGCCTTGATAACCTTGACCCAAAAGAACTTTGTTGATTACATGACATCGACTGCAAGACATATATTACATTTTATATCCAGTGACGGATTAAAGGGCCCTCAAGATTTGTATAAAAAAAATGGATAAAAAGAAAATTTTATTCAAATTTTGAGTCTGCGAGTGCCATTTCTGTCCCAGAGGTGCCATAATCATAATGTTCTTACCTTAGCCCCAACCATGGTGGGGCTGAGGTGGTAAAGACCCTCCATCTGTGAAAATTCCTACCTGCCCCCCTCTATTTTAAATTCTTACTAGATCCACCACTGATATATCATTAAGTTCATCTTTAAAAATATTTATAATACAATGACAAACATGATTAAAAAACACATAAACCCCACAATGGAATTGGTGACTGGGACCAAAAGTCCCCCAGTCTCAGAAAGCCACAGGGCCCTCAACCTTAGCGTTACGCCACTGCCCGAGAATGAATAAGCAAGGGGTGTTAGTAACAACAATTATGTAAAGTACTGAACCGTAATCTAATAATACTGCTAAGGTTTTATTAAATAAAATTTGTATTTTGATGTTCTGTCACTAATTCAATATTTGAATTGCCAAAGTAAAAAATTTATAATTTCTAATTTTTTATAATTTTTTTTAATTTTGTATAATTTCCATGAACCATTAGTACTGTAAATTAATAGCATTTTTTATGCAGGACTGTTCTCCCATATGCAATTTAAACTCTTTAAAAAGAACGCTATTACACTAATTAGCATTTTTCAACTCTAAAGCTCTCTGTTCACACTATCAAATTTTATTTGACAAAAAAAATGTGACTATCTTTCTGAGCATCTTGCAATTACTTCTATTTTCTCAAATGATTTTGATTTTTATCTTTTTGGCATCTTTTGAATGTGTTTTTAATTACTTTTTCAGTGCTGTTTACTTGTTTTATCTGATGTTTTAACTGACTGCAATAATGTTGAATTTGACACGCCTAAATATAGTCACGGTGACATCACATCATGACCATATATAGGCATACAACAGTTTTTTGTCAAAGAAATTTGATAGTCCGGGCAAGGCTTAAATATAAAATTATCCCCTGTAGCATTTTTTAAACTCATCCCTGCAGTTTTCTTCTACAAGTTTATCCATAATTGATTGGTAATTAATATAAATTTAGCCCAGCAATAGATCTTAAGCGACTGTTCAGCTGGTCTTTCGCCAGGTAGCAACCCGTCATGACACGCTTGCCTTCAAAAGCAGCTCTGCCATGGAGAACACGCCAGTTATCGAATAACAACACTCGTCCAGGTGTTAGCTTGATCCAGATCTCATTCGCACTGGAATTTAACTCCAGGGATAGTGCCTTAAGAGCTTTGTAGAAAAGCTTTGTGTCCTCAAATGAAGTATGCGATAGGACAGCTCGGTCGAATGGATTGTATCTGAAATTTAAAAAATCATTTCTTTAAGCCCAGTTTTACACTAAGCAAACCAACTTGCGCAAAACGAAAGCGTCGGTTTATGCACATGCACATTCACATCAGAGTTTTTTGCTGAAGCAAAATCAGTAGTACGAACTGTTTCTACTCTGCGCAGTGTGTGCAACCAATCAGAGCTCAGAAAGGGAACCGACTCTCTAGTTGCGCACACAAATTCACCCCACTGTAAAACCGGCTTAACTTAGTATTTAGAGTTAAAAAATATTTAAAATAGGGAAATCTCCTGAAGTGATCTGAATTGGGAGTTGCATATATTCAGTCGTCCATTGGCTAATATATATATGTTAATAATTTTCTGTTAAAAGTTCTTAAAAAATATTAATGAAATAAATAATATTCAATTTCATATAATAATACTGTTTTATAACTATTTAGAAATGAAAAAAGTTCACCATGAGGTATACAATGTAATAAGAGAAAAACAAAGCAAATTATTCAATAAATAACAATGGCTTACCGGATTGCATCTAGCTGTTTTGTAATTGGATTTTCTTGGAGAAGGTTTATTGTGCCAATAACTTTGTGACCATCTCCAATATATTCAGCTTGTAAAGGGATTCGAACTAACGCATCATAATACTCAGGATGTTTCATTTTTAAATTTGCAGCTGCTTTAAAACCATCAACAAGAACATTCTCCCCACCACTGCCATCATGGAAGAGGCAATGGAATACTTGAACACTATGTAAAACAAAACATGGGATTTGTATGAAAGAAATATCTGATTTATGAAGAATATCTGAATAGCCAAAGAATGGTGGTTGTTTCACCTTACTGTTCATGACCTAAAATGTTAATTTAATATGCGATTGGTAATCTCATACTATTGAGAACTTAACATTTTGGGTTTTGTACTCATGTGAGCACACCCTTAAGTGTTTCCTTTTACAGTGGTCATAAAATATGCATGGTTTTAAAAGGTGGTCTACTGTACCTGAAAATCCAGGGGGGTATGGCTTTCTTCCAACAGAGACAACAAAAACAAGTGGCCTACATTTACAGTATAACCTTGGATATCAAAGTATCCAGAGGACTAAAGATGAACTTGGCTCTGGAATTCTGTCCATAGAAGTTCAAGAAGTCAGTGAGACAGGGATCAGAATAACAAAAAACTGCCAGGGTCACTATCAGGGTCACTATCAGGGTTCCCAGAATAAACCTGAGATGTGGAAAAGGATGTATATTTTTCTTGGTTTAGATTTGTAAAACTTCGAGTGTTGTGAATTTCTTCTTTGTGGAAGAGGAAATTCGCTCTCAGTGACTTACCCACTGGCTTCTAATAGGTAGGTATTGTCATTATGAACTCCGATCCCTTGGTTGGTGTAAGATGAATCTGCTAATGCTGCATTGTTTGTAAAAGTCCAAGAATGTCCAAAAATGGTGTTCCGAAGGTGGCCTACTCGTTCACATACCTCCTAAAATGAAAAAATTTTCAATAGATTTTACTATCAATTAAAGCCACAAACGATCTTCAGTGGCGGATTGAGGAATTTGAAATAGAAGGGGGCCCAGGGAGGAACTTTCACAGAGAGAGAGAGAGCCTATACCACCCATACCATCATGGGGCTGAGATAGAAAAATGTATGATTATGGCACCCCGAGCTGACCAGAAATAGCACTCTCAGATTTAAAATTTGGATATAATTTCCTTTTTTTTTCTTTTTTTTTTTAAATTGGGGGGGGGGAGAGTGGCCCTTGCTGGCTGCCCCCACACCCCTTGAATCCACCACTGGTTTGATAATAGAAATGGTTCAAGCAGACTGAAGTTTAGGAATGAAAATAACAATTATATATAACAGTAGCTTACTACAGTGTCTGCTTCTGTCAAAGGGCATCCTCCCACAATTCCAAATCCATATGTATGAATATTCATGAGCAGCCTTTTGAGGGATACATCGTTTTGCATAAGCTCATCATATGGCACATCTGCTGGCAATTCTTTTAGAATTTGTTTGCCATCCCATAATACTTTCTCAACTGTCTCTTTCAATCTGGAACCTGGTGCATTCTCCTTCAACCAATTGAGGTCAAAGGTTGATTAAGACGATATATTTTGTCGGGGAACAAACAAATAAAAAAAAATATTTACATATAATATTCGTTTAGCCACCATATCATTTGTGTTAACTTTTCATCACAACAACCACAATAACAAGAATAATAATAATAATAATAATTCAATGAGACTAATTAAAAATAATTTGCGTTCTGTTATGACAAATGCTCATTTAGATAGCCCTAGGCCCTAGGCGGCCCCTGGCCCCAGCCAAGTGAGACTCGATTCGCTCCAGCCGCCCCATCGGGGCTAAAGGTGTCTGGCGCCACCGCTGCTTCTCATAACCGTCCTAACCAAGACACTCTAGTTTACAAAATTTATGTCTGGCAGAGCTGAAAGTCTGGGGTTACAAAATAGAACCCTACAATTTTTAGTTAGAAGCTGATAAATTGTTGAAATACACAAATCAAGTAATTCAGTATTCTATTATTTAAAGTTCATATTTGATTTTTGTGGTAGTATATTTTAATAAGGTCAGCATGAATGAAATATTTTTATTATTACCAATTATTCTCATTTGACAGATGGATTTAATATGGACAGATCAAATGATGCCATAAAACACTGCTTTATTAACCAATATCAAATTGCTACAGTACAGTATATCAACACCTATATCTCAATAGAAAATGACTAAATATAAATGTCTATCAATAATTTCATAAAATCTTTTACAGTCTGTCATCTTGGAATCCTTAATTGTTGCCTGTCTACAAATTATATTTTATCTTTGAAAGTATCAGTATTATGGCATCTAAAGTACAGTATACGTTTTCCCTCTTATAGACACCCCCAACCCCAACCCCCACCAACCTTCCATGTAGTAAAGCCTTCTTTCTGTTGTTAGGCCCTTAAATGTCATATTGGGTAGATCAAATCCACTTTAGCAATACCAGGCTGAGAATGTCCCCTGGAGTGGGATATTTTATCCAGAAGTTTTTGACTTGTCCATGGGTTGACTGAAAATTTATCTCTTGATAAACCAATAAAAAATAGGTTACTAATTTTCGTGTCAGATACGCAGGTCAGTCTGTGTGGTGTTCCTTTTAAAAAAGTAAATTCAAAATAAATTCATAATAAAATCGATGTCAACTTAAAATATTGTAATTGAATTTACTTGTCAACTACCACTGATTTCATGAGGACTTTTTCAGTGACCTCAGAATTTTAAATTGTTGCCTGTCTAAATTGTATAAATATCACTTTATTGTACTAAAGAATAGACACAAATTGAGACAAATAAACCAGGACATGGGCCAGGACGTGACACCACACAGCTTATAACCCCATTTCCGGCAAAATTTCAATAAAAAAGAATTATTTTAGAAAAAATGCATATGCATTTAAACCATGGAAAAATATTGACATAAATTTTAGTTTTACGCAAAAGGATAAAAAAAATAAGAAATTGAGACTATTTCTCATAGGAGACCATTTTCTCAACGACTTCTTCGTTACTAGGCAAATTCAGAGGTCGTAGATCGCATCCACTGCAATGCTCTCGCTTTTTTGTATACTTTATACAGTACAGTCAATAGTAGGCCTGAGATATGTTTGTCAAAATCTCGGTCAGAATAATTTTTTTAACAAATTGAAATACTGTAATTTCCAATGAAATATTATCACAAGTGTCCAAACTAGCAAATGGAAATATCATGTTGGTCGTTTTTATGTATAATAAGAAAACTTAAATCGAGGTAAGGCTAGGCCTAGCCGTGTTGATTGGCTAATGTTTCCGGTGCCTACAGTACTATATTTCTTCAGACCTATCGCAAAATCAAACATAAAAAATTCATATGCGTTTATTGAAATTTCGGTCTTATTTTACATATTTTTAATGTTTAGTAATGTCTAAATTCAGTTTAAACTAGCAATTCCGTATTATATTTATAAATCTTTTTAAATATAACATATAAAAATCGGTATAGACAAACATTTCCCTCTTTTAGACTCACACCTCACACCTTCTATGTAGTGAAGAATTCTGTCTGTTGTTAGGCCCTTTAATCTATTTTAAGACTAAATTAACCTTTGCAATGTCAGGCCAAGAATTTCCCCTGGTGTACTGGGACAATTTGTCCACCAGTCAACATGTCCTAGGTTACTGATTTGTGTATCAGATACTTGGGCAAGTCTGTGTGCTGTCCCTTTTTAAAAAGTAAATAAATTTGATGTCAACTTACAGGTAATATTGATTGATTGGTTATCAATTTGAATATCAGTTGGACTTTCATCTTGGATGTCAGTCTTGAATGCATCAAAGTTACGTTGATTTGTGTCATGACTGTAACACTCAGAACATCTGTGATACAGTAATCAACAAATTTTAATATTTCTTGAAGGTTTGCATTATGAGTATCAATTACCAAAATCATAAAAAGTTTGGCACACCATGTGTATAAATATGGTTTTTGAGGTAAATCCACTGGTTGGTTGTCCCCATCCATTGTAAAAATATAGTTTCCGAGGTAAACTTTTACCTCAAAAACCATATTTTTACACAAGAGTAATGAAAGTTTAATGGTTTTGTTAAAACAAATTTTACTACTCGAATCAAGTCATAAAACAGTGTCTTTTAAAGCCAGGCTCTGGAGGAAAATTGAGTTAGATAAGGGTAACTTTGGCAAGCATCGCCATCTGAGGCCTTGTGACCATGCCGGTTGGGGGAGGGTTTGGGAGGGGTCCCCCTTCATAATGAGATTTTTTTTTTTAAATTGGCGGGTGCACTGTTTTAAACTTGTATATCCTCACACCAGGGCTGGTTGTGTTGAGGATAATGTAACCTTGATTTACCTGCAATGATCTCGAAGCCACACATAAGGAATCTTTAGAGCATCATCGCCCTCTACTGATATCAGTTCCAGGTAATCCTCATGCTGCGAAAACATCTGCTGTTCACTAATGGTTGCAAGATGTCTCTTGAATGAATCCCATCTTTGTTGGTGGGAAATTTGATGCAGGTTTTTGTTGAAAAGACTCCTTCCAGATGAGAGAGTACTTATGGAGCTGGTTGAATAATAAACTGGTGCTTCCACCAAACTATGTTTGTGAAAAATATGCTGTTTTCCAAAAATGACAGTTGATATGACTCTAAGCCTTGGCCTAGTTCTGCAGATAATGTTCATGTTTTCTGTAAGCTTCTCCAATGGAAAATTAAACAGCCAACTCAAAAATTCCGTTCTAACAACTACATGTATAAATAATAATACTTTTTACCATAAATAGTAAAAAAGAAAAATGAAGAATAAATGTTTAGCACAGTGATTTCCATACAAAAAAAAGACACAAATACCGGTACATGTGTCTTTGCTGAATCCTAGAATTCTGAAGGATTTAATTAGAATTTTGATTCAGTAATTAAAATTGAATGGACTATTACAGAGTGCCAATCAAACAGCTGACCACTCAGAACATGAGAAGGAATGCATGTGTGTCTCACAACCACGAATGTTAGGTCACAAAATGCACATACAGTACGTACTCTAACACTGTCATTATGTGGGTCTCCAGTGACAATATCCAGGAAGTTGCAAAAAGGTCCATTTGGAGGCCTCACAATTTTTTTTTTTTTCAGGATTTTAATAAGCACAGTAGAGAAAATCTAAATGAAGATCAGTCATTGAATTTCTGCCATTCTTGGAGAATTCACTTTCATTAAATCCAGGCAATTGGTAAATAATAATAATAATAATAATTGTCGACTTATATAGCGCATATTGTAGGGACCTCAATGTACTTACATTATTACCCCCGGATCACTGGATCAAGTACATATGGAACACACACTCAAGCCCCATGGGGAAATGCCATTATGTATTCAGCGCAGGCTGTGTTTGAACCTACCAGGTACCCACTTGTACTCCTGTGTGGAGAGAGACAACCGTAGTTAAAGTGCCTTGCCCAAGGACACAAGCAACTTGCACAGCGAGAGTTTCGAACCCCCTACCTCAAGGTTGGGAGTCCAAGCCACAACTGATGCGCCAACCACTTCTACACAAATTATACCTTCAGGATTTAATTCAAATAAATCAATAAGGCAAATTATTTTAATTGCTACTTGCTAGTTTCATGGTTTCATGTACCCATCCTAATCAAATTTTTGGAGCCAAGTGAGAAAATTTGCTATTTTGTTTTTTTTTCAGTGGTCAAAGCCTTAGAAGAGGTGGAAACATAAATGAAAGTAGGGGCCTACTGTATACATTACAAAGACTCACTTCACTTAATTATTAAAATGTTTATTATTGACCAGCCTGTTTAATAAAAGCATTAAATTTGAAAATAATTTTAATTTACATTGGACATGAAACTAATGTTCAATTTATTTTATTTGGCCTAGGCCCCTAGTAGAAAGGAATTCACCTTTAATTAAACATCACGATGGTTCACAATCACAGTTTGTTAAAAAAAAACCAAAAAAAAAACAGAAGGCCTAATCCTCATGCTGCGAAAACATCTGCTGTTCACTAATGGTTGCAAGATGTCTCTTGAATAAATCCCATCTTTGTTGGTGGGAAATTTGATGCAGGTTTTTGTTGAAAAGACTCCTTCCAGATGAGAGTTTACTTACGGAGCTGGTTGAATAATAAACTGGTGCTTCCACTAAACTATGTTTGTGAAAAATATGCTGTTTTCCAAAAATGACAGTTGATATGACTCTAAGCCTTGGCCTAGTTCTGCAGATAATGTTCATGTTTTCTGTAAGCTTCTCCAATGGAAAATTAAACAGCCAACTCAAAAACTCTGTTCTAACAACTACATGTATAAATAATAATACTTTTTACCATAAATAGTAAAAAAGAAAAATGAAGAATAAATGTTTAGCACAGAGATTTCCATACAAAAAAAGACAAAAAAACCGGTACATGTGTCTTTGCTGAATCCTAGAATTCTGAAGGATTTAATTAGAATTTTGATTCAGTAATTAAAATTGAATGGACTATTACAGAGTGCCAATCAAACAGCTGACCACTCAGAACATGAGAAGGAATGCATGTGTGTCTCACAACCACGAATGTTAGGTCACAAAATGCACATACAGTACGTACTCTAACACTGTCATTATGTGGGTCTCCAGTGACAATATCCAGGAAGTTGCAAAAAGGTCCATTTGGAGGCCTCACTTTTTTTTTTTTTTTCAGGATTTTAATAAGCACAGTAGAGAAAATCTAAATGAAGATCAGTCATTGAATTTCTGCGATTCTTGGAGAATTCACTTTCACTAAATCCTTTAGGAATCTTTCCCACAGGCAATTGGTAAATAATAATAATAATAATTGTCGACTTATATAACGCATATTGTGGGGACCTCAATGCGCTTACATTATTACCCCCGAATCACTGGATCAGGTACATATGGAACACACACTCAAGCCCCATGGGGAAATTCCATTATGTTGCAGCTGTATTCAGCGCAGGCTGGGTTTGAACCTACCAGGTACCCACTTGTACTCCTGGGTGGAGAGAGACAACCGTAGTTAAAGTGCCTTGCCCAAGGACACAAGCAACTTGCACAGCGGGAGTTTCGAACCCCCTACCTCAAGGTTGGGAGTCCAAGCCACAACCGATGTGCCAACCACTTCTACACAAATTATACCTTCAGGATTTAATTCAAATAAATCAATAAGGCAAATTATTTTAATTGCTACTTGCTAGTTTCATGGTTTCATGTACCCATCCTAATCAAATTTTTGGAGCCAAGTGAGAAAATTTGCTATTTTTTTTTTTTTCAGTTTTCAAAGCCTTAGAAGAGGTGGAAACATAAATGACAGTAGGGGCCTACTGTATACATTACAAAGACTCACTTCACTTAATTATTAAAATGTTTATTATTGACCAGCCTGTTAATAAAAGCATTAAATTTGAAAATAATTTTAATTTATATTGGACATGAAACTAATGTTCAATTTATTTTATTTGGCCTAGGCCCCTAGTAGAAAGGAATTCATCTTTAATTAAACATCAGGATGGTTCACAATCACAGTTTGTTAAAAAAAACCCCAAAAAACAGAAGGCCTATACTGCCCTACCATGACATAAAGAAGCAACTGCTGTTCGCATTGCTTTGAGTAATTAAGGAAAACAGAGCATGTTGATTTTGTCCCCTGCTTCCTATTCTGGTGGTTTTTACTGTATTTTTAGTCTCTTACTTCCTTTTTGTGTTCCTAATTACTTGTTAATTAGTGGGATTTGAGCATACTCAAATATATCAATATGTTCCAAATTATAGTGACTAAAAAACTAGTTTTTTTGAAAAATTGTCAAATACTTCCATTTGTCATGGTGGGGCAGTATAGAGATTGCACTTGTCAATTATAATCCCCCCCCCACCTCCCCAGACCCTGGCCATAGCAGGGGGGCACTAGCTGGGACTGAGCCGGAGACGTTCACATAGGCCTAGTTGTGTCCCCGTAGTGCCGGGGCCAACCTAAAATTCACCCATAGATATATCCAGCCATAAAAGGACCAGGAATTTTACACGTTAATTAAAAGTAGTCGGAGTTCGAGTGTAGTGCTGTCAAATGGTCTGCTCCTACCTAGGTCACTAGGCATTCAGCAATTGCTGTGTGTTTTGATACTTAAAAAATCGCCTACCGGTACTCTAGCCCTATCATCACGGTTTCATTTTTTATAGATCACAATATAAATTACTGTACATAATAAAATTCAAATCTCCACCACACAATGACGAGGACCGAGGTGATGTGAGTGTGTTGCGTGAAAATTTGTGAACCGTGTATTTGACCTAGTGTGCGTCAAAAAATAAACCAGTGAGCGAAGGCAAGGAAATCTGTTTCTAGGGGCCTACTACTCATTTAATTGGTGATCCGCTAACGTTAGCGGATCACCTCTTGTTATTGTCAGAGATCTTACAACTTTTTTTTATTCTACCTTTCCTTCCATTTCTGTTCGCACGATATCTCAAAATTGCCACAAGTTACGCACACGATCGCTACATCGATCATTTTGTCTTCGCCTGGAATAGTCATGGTAAGCTTTTCAACGCGCACAGTCCTGCGTGACGTCATCTACGTGCAATTTTGCGTTTTTACATTATCGATCATATCAGCCTAACCAATTGCCATTTCGAAACCGTATTAAGTGAGCATTAACTTTGGGTTAATGTTGAATGTACTGTACCCTAATTTTAAGCGTGCGCTTCATTACGCACGTGTAGGCGTGCGTCAAATTTTTAAAATGCTCAAATTCACTTTTTGACTAAATTAGAGTACGTTTTAGGCCATTTTGAGCATTTCGAAATTTTTGAAAATTTACCACTACGCGTGCGCATTTTTACGTGCGCAGCACGTACGGAAGCTAGACATCATGTTTTTTCACATAATTTGGGTTCCTGACATTGTTTCCACAAATATCCATCCTTTTTGGTCATCTTATGGTCAATAGCAATGTCGTATGTGCACATCAAATATAGGTATCTTTGCGTGGATTTGTGCCGATATACAGTGAAAATATGCTAAAATCAGGCCTATTTTTAATCAGTTATAGCTCCTAAGGATGAAAGGTGACCCCCAATGTTTATTACATATTCTGAAAGCACATAAGTTGTAAATATGATTTTATAGATCAAAATGGCTGATCGGACATTGTGACGTCATCATATTGGCATCTGAATTCAAAGAAAGTGAATTATAGCTATGACGTCATTTTTGAAAATACGCATTTGAGCGTATCTCGCTTATCCTTAATCGATCGTCTTCCAACTTTGAGTATGTTATAGCTGGGACAATTCTCTTTCATATATTTGACTTCTTTTTACATTTTGATGACGTCATCATTGTCAAAAATATTGTTTTTTCTGACCCCCACATCTTTCTTTCCTCAAAACGTTGATGAGCCCATATCATCCTAACCATTCGTCATTTCTGAATCATATTAAGTGAGCATAATCTTCAGGTCAAGGTTGAATGCTAGGTACCTTAATTTTCAGTTCGCGCGACTTAACGGGTGCGTACGCGTGCGTCAACATTTACATATGCATAAAACCATGAATATATTATATCAGTTATAGCTCCATAGGATGAAAGGTGACCCCCAATTTTTATTACATATTCTGAAAGCACATGAGTTGTAGATACGATTTTATAGATCATATTGGCTGATCGGACATTGTGACGTAGATGTGTATAAGAGACAGGTCATCATATTGCCATTTGAATTAAGAAAAAATTGAATTTTTATTTATGACGTTATTACTTTTTATACTCGTTTGAACGTACTCGCTTATCTTGATTGATTGTCTCCCACCTGTGAGTAAGTTATGATTAAATAAATTCTCTTTCGGACGTGTCCCTTTATTTTTTATTTTGATGACGTCATCATGTTCAAAAAGAATGCTTTTTTGGAGCCTTCTCATCTTTCTTTCTTAAAAGATGTAAACACATTGAAAAAGAGTGCGGTAGACTGAATTTCGACACTATCAGACCGATAGTTCGTATACTGTAAAGGCAAAATTCGTGTGGCATTACCAACCAACAGAGGGT